ATTTCAAACAATAATAAAACAAATAAAAAATAAAAAAAATTCAACTCCTCAAACAGTAACTCATACAAATACAAATTAAACAATTTCATATTTCTTTAACAATTTTACTTTGATCATTTTTTGAAGGACTTAATTGATCCCATCTATGATGTATAAAGAAAAAGAAATCCGTATAATGTTTAGGTTCTAACTCAGTAAGTATTCAGTATCAGCAAGTACCCAAACTGGTGTACTCCTACTCGTACTGGGTTTGTGAAAAACTGTTATCAGGACACCCCTAGAATATAGTGACAAAAGATTACTTCAAATAAAAAATGTTGACTTTTTAAAGATTCAGTTAAGGTTCAACATTATCCCCCTTTTTTTTCGGACAGATATGTGGACTTTTTCTAAATTCACTGGTGTGTGTAATGTAATGTCTGCTTTGTCAACAATAAGCAAAAAACTATATAAAGCAAAATAGCTCCAAACCATGAAGAAGGAAAAAGTGTTATTTAATAAAATGTGATTCTTTTGAAGAGTTAATAACATTTTAAGTACCACTGTGAGTAAAAACAAAGACACTTCCTTCTGCAAGTTATTTGTTTGTGCTCAGAAATGTGAATCTGATTTAGGTCCAGATGGCGGTGGATGTGAAGTTTGCCCAGGACTCTCTTCGAGGGGACAACATCACGGAAATCCGCATGAAGTTTATTAAGAGGATTGAAGAAAACCTCCCAGCTGGAGAGGAGTGATGGAACTAAAGACTCTTTCCTTCATGTGTCTGTAAAAAAGACAATAACTTAAAAGAAGGAACAACTGAAGAACATCAATCAGACCTGAAGGACATTTCTCTTCCTTGTAGCTTCATGTGTTTGAGAGTTTATGTTTGAACTGTACGATAAGAATCCTAGACATCGCACTGGAACATAGAAGTTCTAGCTCGTTGAAAGTACATTTGCAAATTCGTCACTACCCTTCATTTGTTAAAAAAAAATGAAAATTTCTTCACACTTATACTCTATTATTTTTTATTCATTACTGTTTTGTTTTTTCTTCTTTTACATGACATTCAAGAGTTTAAAAACTGTATTGCTGCCAATTGTCTGGCTTTGGTAATTTATGTTGTCTCAAGTAAAATCAACCAATGCGATGCAATGCTTTTCGTATGTGTTTGAAAACCTTTTGAAAGCGGACCAGAAATTGATACTTTTAGCAAAAATGATGTCAGGATTGCCTCCAGGCCTGGAGTTTATTCTTCCCATGCATGTGTGGGTTTTCTTCAGTTACTCCGGTTTTGCACCACAGACCAAAAACATTCATGTTAGGTTAATTGGTAACTCTAAATTGTCCATAGATGTGAGTGAGAGTATGAATGGTTGGTGTCCCTCTCTTTTCGTACAGTACCCGATGAAGATGGGCACCAGATCACCGCAACCCGGAAAGTAAGAAAAAAAAAAATGGATGGATATTTCTAGCCACTCTTGCAAACGCAAACAAAACCAGATGTAATGCTCGTTAATGCTTGTGCAAAACACACAGAACTGATTTGTGTGTCTGTGTGTGCGGAAAACTCACATAGTTGTGGTTGTCACACCTGTGAATGGCTTCACGTCACCCAGACGTAACGAGCAGAGCCTCCCCGCGAGACCCAATGCACACCTCGTCAATAACCCAAAACACAGACGGCTATTCACACACATACACAAATCATTTCTACCCCCACTTTAGAAAAGAAAAAAAAAACAGGTCTGGTCTGGATATCATGAGCTCATTAGCCATGTTTTTCTTATTTTCTTTATTTTTTTTGTCTGTGTTATTGTGTAACAAAGTACTAAACTCACGAATCTGCTCGATGCACTTAGAGGATGAGATTGTTGATAGGGATTTCCTTTTCAGAGACGTCTGTCAGCTATTAGCTGCTGGAAAGCCTCAAGGCTCCACACATCCTATTTTATAGCTGCTATCACTCGTGTTTGCTTTTACAGTCTCAGCAGGAAGTCTGGGTGGAGTTCTTTACACGACCACCAGAGGTCGCTGTCGACATTTCACTCCTGGTAACAGCACTTCTAACGTGATGGCAGGAATGTGATGTATATGTGGGTCTTTAGGCAAAAGCTGGATACTGTTAAAGAAAAAATTCTCAGAAAGTTATCCTTGAGAAGGTCAAAAAAACAAAACATTGAGATAAAAGTGAACAAAAAGGTTTTGTCCCTGCCTGTGTGCTTGTTTGTCTTTTTTTTTTTAATTCTCTTGAAATACTGGACAAATAATAGTAAAAAAAAAAACCTCAGAAATTAATTATTGGATGTACCTCTACAGTTGATTAACTTACAGATCCAAGATGGTTGTCATAAAGCTATCAACGTTAGCCATCACAAAAAAAAAGTTATAATTCGATCAGTTCTGAGCTAAATTTTGATGYAGGAGCTTAAAAGGATTTAAAATAGATTTGAGCTTGAGTTTTTTTTTAAATGCGGCACAAGACCACACAATGTTATTTTCWAAGTTTGACCAAAATGGCAACAACTCCCAAGTTTTCTCTACATAAGACAGGAGTGTCAAACTTATTTTCACC